TGCTTATAACTACTATTGTGTACTTGTAATATAAAAGAGAGAACTACTCTGAACTGCTGGTGGGTAGAGCATAGAAGGTCAGCAGAGCATGGAGGGTCAGCAGGGTGGCTGGCAGAGCTTGAACTTGTATTAGAGGAATAAAGCATGTCTGTGAGGCTTACATCTGAAGAATAAAGCATGTCTAACTTGCATAAAGCTGCCAGAATCTTCTTTCAATTACCTGACTCATGACCAGCACAGGAAGGGGAAGAAGGATCTGTGATTCCAGCCTGACACAGTGTAACTGGTGAGATGGTCACAAAATTTTTATGCCATAGAAGAAATATGAAAACTCAATTTCGAGCAAAATTTAAATAAAGGTGAAGTACTAAAACATCAACATTTTCCAAAAAAGATCACAAAAATGGAAGATAGACTGAATAATATATTTAATCAAAACATTTTAAAAGACATTAACTTTTTAACAATACAGACTTATGACTTTATTCCTTTTTATCTAGTAAAATTTTGAATTATTTATACTATTTTCTATAACTAAAATATTATGTTGCACTTTATCACGTGCATAGGTATGTGATCTTAAAACCAAAATCAAAACTCTGAATTTCTCTGGAAATATGACCAGAAGTCCTATTTTTCCAGAGACAACTCTGGTTTACTTTTGTTGTCCCAGCATAATTATTAACAGAGCTCTGTGCAAGACACAGAGATGTGCTACTTGGACACCCACTCAAGGAAGGATTTGCTTCCCCCCCGCAAGGAGTGTGGTTACCTGGCAGCCTACTGCTGTGTTGTCCTCAGGACCACTTAAGCTTTAGAGCCAGAGTCATCCTGGCGAGTGACTGAGCAAGTTGGTACAAGGGTCCAGCCTTTTCTAGCCAACACAGGGTTTTTCTAATGGGCAGTATTTGCTGCGGAGCTCCCACTCCCAAGCCCCACTCCAAGGACTGAAAAGACTCTGGCAGTGCTGTGTCATGGTTTCACAGCCCCCACCCAATCCTACTTCCTCTTCCGTTTTCCTTCTGAGGGTGTTCCTCCCAATAAACCTTTTGCTCTTTTAAAAACAAAAACAAAAACACTCTGCCATCTTTAACACTAACAAAAATATGATAATTTGATTAAAAAGTTTAATAATACAACTTGTACTATAATTTCAAGGTTTTCTATTATATTTAAATTTTCCAACTCTTTTAGGCACATTAAAAAATAAAGCCAATAGACATGTATATATATTTCAACTTTCTACTGAAAAAACCTGTAACTATTTTTATACATCTGCTCACTATAATGTACGTTTACATATTAATGTGCAGTACAAATTTGTAAATATGAACATGTTAAAAGTGGAAAGGAAGTAATACTAGCTTTTTTTTTCTCAATTTTTTATTGAAACAGCATGTCAAAAGTTGGCCAGAAAAACACATGTAAATAATTTTAATACTGGATGTGTTTCAAATATTCTCTGTATCTATTTGTTCTGTGTTATATTGTCATCCAAACAATGTTTATTTGCACAGTTTTAATACAAATTGTCACTTAATTGCAGACCAGACCTAAGATGATTAAATGTATACCAAGGTACTTATATCAAAGCATCTACCATCAATGCCTAAGCTACGCATTTGGTTTGTTTTAAACTGCTCCAATAAACAAGTTAAATTTCAGTAAAATCAACTGTTAAACTGTTGCTGTATATCAGGATATTATTGTTATTTTGGCTTATTGAATATTTTTTTTAGAACGAAGGCAAAATATCTGTAAATTGGAATAAAAACACTGTATTTCCACCCTGTCAATGCAATTCACAAACTATGGTACATGTAATTAGAGATTTCTAAGCATACTTAAAAGAATCTTTCCACATAAGTATATGTAATTAATAGTATAAGTATGCAATGAGTAAATGTTCTTTATAGCATCTCTTTTTAGGAAAGGGAGGGAGAAAAAGCAACACTGTAAATTATATAAAACCAATACTAAACTAAAATCCTACTGGTTATATATATATATTTCACTGTGACATCTGGAATTTATTAAACTACATATTCAGGTAAGGAAAAGACTTGTTAGTGAGATTCAGTAAGGAGATAACAACTGCATATTACCCAACTATATACATGGACCTATAACTCTAATGTCACTAAGCATCTAAACTTGTCATCAGCACGTTTGTAGACTTTTGTAAAGTATATTTTTAAATATTTATACAAAACATTTATTTCAGTCATGTTCTGGCTCAGCATTACATCAGCAATACTTAAAAGGTACAACCTGCTTTACATGCACCATGATTTCCCCCAAGGTGCATAATATAAATGATTAGGAGAATGAAAGGGAAATATTCCATAATGTCCAACGCAGATGTTTGTCTTTATTTGTTGTTGGTACCTTGTCAAGTTGTCAGCACATAGGACTGTGATGGTTCAAAGACTGATTCACTGACTCATCACTTGCTGATTCTGATTGTTCATCTTTTTTTTGTGCCACAGACACACTTCAACCTCACAAAAGAATGAAGTAATGTCCATTCTCAGACTATATGTAGTACCAATGGCTAATAGAAGTGAAATATCATGAAAATTTATCTTCATAGCTTGGGGAAAAATAACCTCTTCATTTTTGAAGTACAGCGAATGATGTTACTGAGTTTGAAGTCTCTAAAATTATGTAACCTAAAATTACATATTGGACCTTAAAATGTAATCTCCAGAGGGCTTAGCCCCTCTGTACAGTGAAGAGAAATAATAATATTAAAGATTTTGATGTTCTAAGTTATGTTACCTAAAGTTATAAATTGGTCTTTTAAATGTAATGAATAGAGTATTTATCTACTTAGACGTGCTCTGCAAGCAGGCTCAAACATTAAGTCCTTGATTTCAGCTCAGTTGACGGTTCCACAAAATAATACCTTCCTGGCCAGTGAATCTGACTACAAGTCTGAGCTTGAGTGAGGGTTGTGCAAGAATAAAGTGGCATTCACTTGTTTCCTGACTCAATATGCAAATTTTACAGAATTGATGAAAAGGTTTTTTTCCTAGATTTATTTGGGGTAAGTCATATAACCAGGTCAGGTTAAGAATCGGATTTTATAAATTTAGTCAGTTGAATTAAGATATTTTGTTTTACTGAGGTTACCAGAGGTGGGAAAGGGAGAGGAAGAGGGGGGTTAGCGAGAAATTGGTAAAGGGCCACAAGAAATGATTACATTGTGTAATGTTGAATATACTAATTATCTTGATTTGAGCATCACATATTGCACACAGATATTGATATTCAATGTGGTGCCCCACCGATATGTACAATCAATTCTGTTTCAATAAAAATAAATAAATAAATAAATAAATTTTAAAAATGTTTTCTTTTAAAAGAGGAGAAAGGATACAAATACATGTATGGTCAAACCAGATGGAAACAGAGGTTTTGACTATTAGATTTGGGTGGTTATTAAATATAATTTGGCCATTTTCATTTGCTAACTATTTTGCACTTTGTCTGACCAGGGTGGTTTTGGATTTTTGTAGGTTTTTTAAGCAAGCCTAATAATTAGTGGAGGCAGTTGAAAGGACAGAATTCCATAACATTTTATTTTTTATTCCATAACCATAGCCTCAATTTAGCAAGTTACTCCAGCTTTGAACCGTCCATTGAGGAGTAAGAATTTACTAAACAGAAAATGGTAAGAGCACTAAATATCTATTGTGCAAGAAGAGAACTGTTAGCAAATTTCTGCAGATGACTAACTTGCTCAGAAGCAGGGGAGTGCTTACTGGACCTCTTGAGGTTTCTTCCAAATCTAATTTTCTGTGAAGGCTTTCTCCTGGTCACTTCTTTAATTAAAAGTGTGAAATGGAAACTTCTGAACATTATATAAAACAGCTTAAGATTAATCTCTAGCTTCTAGCATTTAAACTTTTGCTCCTTCATATTAATCACCATTACCAATGTAATTCTACATTATCAGTTTTATATGGGCAATATATACCAAAACATGAAGCATGAGGTACGTGTACTCTGGATCAGCTACAAAATTAATACTTTCTCTTAAATAATCATTAAAAAGTAATCCAGAGTTTTTCTGAATTTTTCAATTGAATGTTTTCTCTTGTCAGTTACTGAGGTTCTCTAATGTAAGTCCCCATTCATTATAATCTGATCTGGGAGTTTCTGCTTAAAAAAGCCATAATTTATTTTACTAGTTAAAGTTAGTCTACAGGTTTCCTGTTTTGAAGTAAACAAAAACAAAGTGTGCTTGTTGCTTTAATCTCTAGCTTAATAAACCTGGGTAGTACATATTTTATACCTCAAAAACTTCTGCAACAGGTATCTAATTAGTTTAAGCCACAGATAATATTTCATCTTGATGAGAATATTTAATTTGAATGCAACCACGTGCTATTCTATAGCTACTCCAATAAATGAAGGGCACATTTATAAGGTGTATTTAGAATAAAAAAAAAAAACATTTTGAGCAAAATGAATAATAATGATATGCTATTCCTAATAAGTGTTGGAAAAGTTAGAAATAGCAGTTTGCTTAGTTGGTCAAAAGTCAAGTCATGCCATTATGATACAAAGGGCCTTGGCTTACTAAAATGGCTAGAGCTACTGACATTAAAAATTAAAATCAGATATTCATCTGAAAGATATACAGGTTACATATAGGTTATACTTCATAATTCTTTTCAGAAATTTAGGATTTGGTGAAAGGAAAATTTTCAACTTCATAACTAAAATAAAGTCTATAGATTCTGCTTTTGTCTAGTCTAATTTACCATAACTGACACACAAGGTTAGAATTAAATTCTACCATTGTAATTCTATTCTCATATTTATAAGCTCAATTGTATTCTCTCCCTTCAAATCATAATGTTTTAGTTTTCTTGGAGTATTACAATCATTTGTTTTTGTAAACAGTGTATAAAATACCAGGTTTGTTAAAAGAATAAAGGAATATGTAGATAATCATTCATTTAGGAATGATCCAATAATAAAAGAAAATAAAAATAATAGATAAAAAATTATTTAGAATGTTTTACTTTTCATTTGATCTTTGTGTTCCTTAAGGATTAAATGGTCCTTAGGCTATGAAGATTAATAAAAACAATATTTAAAAATTTGTAACCTTATTTGAACCTTAAAATTGAGATTAGAAGTTCCTTCAGCAGCAGAGTATAAATGTATAAGGCAAACAAATGATTAAATTGTCTTCTACAATTACCAAATAGGTAATTACAATGAAGCCAATCTTCATAGATAAAACTGAAATTGTTTCACCGCTTTCACCAGAATTGCATCCATTTTCTTTTAGTCGCTGTCAATTTGTAAAAGGCACTTGGCATGGTAAACTGGTTTTACTATCATTGGAAACTCTATCACCTCATATCAATTTGCATTCGTGGGCTATCTCATCAAATATTTGAGTATCTTATTTTGAGGCCCAATGCCACTTTAACCAGAGATTCTTATAAGTCACATTTGACATTATAAACAACTTCTCATGAACATTTGATAAGGCACTTTAAATGCATAGCAGAGCAATACTGTCTGGTAATGAAGCTCTTTAAGACCAAAAGCAGTTGACCTTCCTTTGGTTACAAATAAAGAAAATATGTGCTTACATATAATTGTTTTAGCAATGTGATTGTTCCATTAAAGGCAATGGTTAATTGCTGGATACCAATGAGCATGATTACATGTGCCTTCTCTAAAAGATATTTGACTGTTTTCATTCACTTTGAGATTGTTAGCAGCATTTACCAGTCTAGATGGCATAGAGAAGTTGTACCTGTAAAAGCCATAGGAAGGATGGAAAGAGCAACCAAGGGCTTCCCGGTCAATGGGATTTGGTGAAAAAAGGTTTCCAGGTGACTGTAATCCATATAACATTTGATTGGCAGAATTAGGTGCTTGTAGACACTGCCCATTGAAGCCTTCAGATGAACCAATTTTTGAACTGGCCCCCAGGGAAGGTAACATGGGCACCTCCATCATGAGTGGGGCTAAAGACTGAGAACTGTTGCTGCTTGCTAGCTTTTCAGGAGCAGGTAAGACAAGAGGTTGCTGTCGCCAAAAATTAGCTGGACAAATCTTGTAGCAAAAGGGCAGGCTGATATTGTGAAGGTATGCCTCCAGGCAGGGCATTCCAAGGGAGCTTGGAGGCAAATAAAATGCAGGTGGAGAGCAAGGTGGAGAAAGTAAGGAGTTCAAAGGAGAGGGAGCCCCTCCACTAGATGTCACTGGAGAGGAGCCACTGCTGCCACCTGTGAATGACAATTCAGTCAATGAACAATGAACTTGATGTTCCTGCTGAATCAGTAATCATTTACATCACCATCCCTGCTTTATTCTTTGATGAGCTTTCCTTGCAAGTTCACTGCTCTTTTAGTTTCTTTGGGAAAGGACATGCTCGTTCCTCTGACCAAAGGTGAATACAGTATCTCCACTACAACCACTATTACTTTTAGCACTACTACTATGCATTATGTATTGAGCATTCACTATTCTCAAGGACCGTACAAGGCACTCAAACCACATTTATCTAATGAAGTACAGAAGATGACTCACAATCAATTATATCTTACAAATACAAGCTAGCTTTTTATCTTTTAAATTAAAAAAAATTACTAAAATAAGTAGTTAAGTAAATTGAAGAAATAGATTGGTTGTTTGGGATTCTATAAACAACTTTAGTCTGATAAAAAAAATAGTGTACATAAAGATAATCTTGTACAAATAAAAACAGCATATTTAAAAACATTAGATTTTTTTTATATGAAAATCATGAATGGTGAGTTGAAGACAATTTTACAAGTTAATAAACATTAAGATGAGAATGGAAGTGTTCATATCAATGATATCCAGTGATCTTTTATGGTTGCCTAGCAAATACTAAAATTAGGGCTAATTATAAGTTCCAAGAAAATCTAGACTCTAAACCTTATTTTTGTAAATGTTTAATTCAGTTAAACAATCTGTCATTAACTGGACTTGGTCAAGTTGAGTTTTGGGGTTTTCATTTTTTATTTTTTGGTGTTGCTGTTTTTTGTCTTAACTATTTTGTGTATGTAGACATAGCCTAATTCTTCACCTAGGTGGCAAATATCTCTTAAAATAAAATGCTTAAAAATTATTTTAAAAATTGGTGCCTCTTTTCAATTTGAGAATATTCTGAACATCTTAAGTAATTAAGAAAACTGTATCTCAAATGATCAATTAACAATCATTTTTAAAATTTTTTCTTTATTAATACACATTATTTTGACTTGGATATTTTAAAAGTATGCTGCCTAGATGCTATTAGCTAATTGATACTGTAAAATAAGTGTTCATATTTTCCTATGCAACTCTCTAAACCACATCAGTACAGTCAATTCATTGAAATATAAACCCAAATGATTAGACTTGATTTCTTTACCTTTCAGTTGGTTGTTATGGCATCATGTAAAACTCAACCTAACTATAATGCTGATGATTTGCTCTGTAATTATAACCTTGAATTAATGTTCAAAGATAAGCAACTTTAATGGAGTAAAGACAAAAGGGGTAAAAAAATTCCATGTTACTTGTAAATAAAATTCTCCTATTTTTTGTTGAATATTAGAGTAAATATAGGTATACATTCTTCCACTAGAAAGTCGGCATTATCTAATTATTATCATTTAGTCATGCAATGTACTACCTGAGAACAAATACCTTGCAAATATTTTTAACTGCTTGTGGAAATTCAATTAATTGTGATGACACAGTATTATTTTCTACATTTGCTTTCCCCACACACACAAAAAGAAAAATTAGAGCTAAGTGATGGTGTAATTTAAAGGAAGTTATTTTAACATGTACTGAAAGTTTCTCAAAAAAAACCACATAAAATATTCATTTCAATAGCAAATATATTTGCAAATCAGGCCACAAATGCATCACAGGCAGATCCTAAAGAATATGAGACAGTGAGATGCTTAATGATCCAGATGCGATCTGGAGCTCTCAGGGTATGAAATAACTCAAGAAGACAGACATCAATAAGTCTATCATTCACAGCTCTATTCACTTCTTTCATGCCAGCTCCCCTCCCTTTTTTGCATCTTACCTCCTCATCAAGGTAAATATACACCCATTACTTGTAAAGACCCATTTTCTGGCATGTGCTTATCCTCTTATGTAGTATTTGGTACAAGGGTTCTGGTGGTTATTTCATTAATATGTAAAAATAAAATTGAAGGTTACACGTTTTCTTACTTTGTGTGTCTGCACCAAAGGTTTTAAAATCCAGAGTGAGAGGCCTCCAGGGGTAGGTCTCTAAAAGCCCATCCAATACACTCCTAAAAAAGAGATTTGACTTTGAGCAAACCCAGAATGCAATTCCTGAAAATAATGATTTATGTAAACCTTTGAGTGATTTTGTTATAGCTTTTAGGGGTGACTCTCTGAAATATTTTTTTTATAGCTAGATTTCTGAGTAAAATTCAGCCAAGCCCAGAGTTCTAGAATAAGCAATACCTGAAAAGTGGGAAGGGGAGGGAGTGACGGAGAGCAAGGTTTTTAAGACAAAACATCTGGTTTCTTTCCTACCACCTACTTGTTAGAAAACATAGAGCTTCCGAGTCTCTGAATCACAGTTTCCTTGTCTTTAATACTTGTGAAAAGGGCTACATAAATATTAAGTATGATTGTTATGTTGCTTACCTGTTTCTTCCGGGATCTCTAAATCCTTTAGCAAAAGGATTCCTGTCAATTTTTAATTTGGTAATCTATGAATTCAAAAGAAAGAGAAAGATGAAGTCAGTGCCCTCAGTAACAACACTGTTACCACTGCTTATAATGGTTACAACTACTACAAAAGACTTTGCAACGTGTAATAATGGCACTCTAAATAAATATAAGCACGTTGTCAAATCAAATTTGGAATGGTTAGCTCCTTTATCTCTGGCCCCCTTTGCTAGGCTCTCCTTTCTGATACAAAATTCACACAACTCATTATCAAACTAGCCTTTATGACAATTCAATAAAACTATGAATTTTTTTAGTTGTGGAAAAGGCAATTCATAGAGTGCAGCTGCCTGAATCCCAAGGTCTCTCTGGGGCCACTCCCACTTGCCTGGGACTTGGCCAGCTTTACCTGCTGGTTTTGGTAAGCTGTCACTGTGGTGAACTCAGTTTCTTTAAAGGAGAACGTTTTAACCCCTTCGGTGGGCAGGGACTGAATCCGGGACAGGTCAACCCTGCTGTGTTGCTCCATCACGTGCACGCGGGGCTTGTACTTATGCATGGACTGCAGAATGATCTGGAGGAGAAATGGTCAAATGCTGCCAGAAAAATTGGCTTCCTCTTCCCACCACTGGCCTCCTCTAATGAATGCCCCCAACAGGAGCACACACAAAGACAAAGGTGAGGTTAAATCAGGGAGACTCAGATAGTCACACATAAGGACCTTTGTTATGCCATTTGGCCCCCGACAGAGGCCCTCAAGGCTAAAGGGTTTCTTGAGCAAAGCATCTCAGTGGCACCCGGCAGCAGCAGCTTTTCTGCTTCCAAACAGTAGGTGACCTTGTGGGTAGAAGTATCACCAAGATCTGATCCTGAGCGGTAAGTGATGAGCCTGAATGTGGTGGGCACCCTTCTGACATTCCCCACCTCCTAATCCCAGGAACCTCCCTCTCATTTTGTGGCTGCCACAGGCCAGGTGGGGCAAGGCAGAGGCAGGGATGCATCTAAGAAGAAGGCTTAAGGTAGATTCAACACGAAAAAGCCTTTTACAAGAGTAGGTTGTGGGGGACATTTCCATGCTGTATTCTGGGTTTCCCGGTTGGTATACTCCTGCCACACCACAACACACAGGTGAGCATCTGCAGGAAGGGAAGGCAATTAAAGAGAGCCTTAGTGACTGACTGGGAGGCAAAGGTGCCTGAGAGCCCTATGAAGCGCTCCTTCCCACTCTCCCAGACCACACATTCTGGGGTAAACAGGTCTCTTCTGGTCCTCAAACTTCCAACGCTCACCACCTCCAACCTCCAGCACTCCTCAGATGCCAAACAGAGGTTTCAGGAGCCCTAGATTAGCTACTTTACTCACAGGTTTAGAGCTTGGACATTCCCTAAAGAGCACAACATTGTGCATCTGGAAGAAGCCTCCTTTGCCTCTCCAGGGAGACCTGTGGCCAGGAGCCTTGGCACCTCCCTCCTCAGGGCAAACGATTGTGCTCACGTACATGGCCCTTGTCGTCCATTTCATTGTTGGTGAGTTTCACGCGATCAAAGCTGATGATCTGCCGCATCCAGGTCTCTCCCGAGCAGGGCGAGTCCGGGTGGACATAGAATCTGGGAGTGATACACGAATGGTCCGTATTCCCAGCTACCATCCACTGCGAGCTGTGATACACGTACCTGAAAAAGTGCGGTATGGCATTAGGTGCAGGGGCCAAAGCTTGGAGCCTAGGAATCACGCTGCCTTTCCGGTCTTAAGGGCTTTGCCCAAGGTTAGCCCGCTGACCTCAAAGGCAAGTAGCAGAGAATTCAACTTGATTTCCAAATGCCGTTCAGAGGCAAAAAAAAAAATCTGTAAATAAGCATATGTCATCAAAATAAAATGAAGTGCAAGGGCGAGTAAAACGTCACGGGATTTCCGAGAGTGGTTTGTATTTCCTCACAGAACCCGCAACAGAAATTGATCTAACCCGTTTTTACCGCGCAGAAAAGCCGGAAAAATCCGCGAGCGTAGGGCGAGAAATGTCGGGGTAGAATTGAAGGGCTGAGAAGGGGGCCTGTTCAGCACACTGTCACCAGTCGTCATTGAAGCCCCTTTGCCAATAAGGCTTCACATCAGAAAAACCCCAGGAACCCCGTCCGGTGCGGCCTCGGGGCTGATATTTACAGTCTCCAATCGCAATATCTCAGTTGTGTGCCGTATTCCCAAACTAGCTGCAACTCGAGAAGCAAGCAGTTTGTTTTGCTGTTTCCAGGCCGCAGCCCCATAGTAAGCTCATGAGCTATACCTTCTCCTTGCCCTCAAAACCAGCACTGGGCTTGAAGTGTCTGTCTCCTTGAAGGGCTATCTCTGGGTAGAACACTCACAGACGGAGTGTAGGCAGCTCTCGCACCCTCCAGACCCCAGAGCACCTGAGTCAAAGCCACAAGCCCAGAAATGCCTCTTGGCTTTAAAACAATTCTGCCACTTTTAGCCTACTCTAAGTCGAGGGCTTAAATAAAGAGAAAGGGGTTCCTATACCCTTTAGGACCTGGGGGCCGCTTCAGGCGAAAGGCTGCAGAAGAGAGAAAAGATGGGCCTAGGCGGATAAACGTTTGACTAGCCTTGGGCGACAAAGCAGCACAGCCCATAGCTCCATGCGTCTCCAGAAGCCTATGCCCACCTTGAGCCTTGAGCATTTCTACCCAAATTCCTTCAAAACGCTTCTTTTTGGCCACCTGAGCCCACACGCTCCGCAGTTTAACATAGCCAAGGCCAGAGTAGTGGGTATGTAAGAGGCCTGGGGTACACTGAAGCTTCAACAGGAGCCCGCATTCCAGTGGGGGAGGGTGTGGGAGAGGGACCGTGAGGGAGGAACAAGTCTGCTCTTCACTCACTCTGAACCCCGATGTGAGTGAGAAAAGTCAACTTCCAAAGCTCCCCAGCTCCCAATGCTAGAGTTTTCAAAACAGCGTTGTCAGGTTGCAGGTCTGAAGGTTCGAAATCCTATCCCCAACCTGGGCCAGGTGTACCCTCCTATGGGCCCGATTACCTATAGCGTTTGGAATCCACTGGCACCACGTCAATGGCCACATAGTACTGCTTCCCTGGGTCCAGCCCTTTCACTTTGACACGAACAGAGGGAAACATCCGCCTGTGGGAAAGAAAATGAGGAATGACCCAGGAGCTTGTAGAGATGTTTGGAAGGGGTCGTGGACAAACGTTGACTCCAGTGAAAAGTGAAGGGACTCGCAATACCCTTCCCGTTCCACTACAGGTTCAGAGAATGGCATTTGTTACATGCGGAAAGATCGTTGGCTGTATGCTTGGTTCAAGTCCAGGATTTCTGAGTGAAGCAGTACATCTTTACCACAAGGCTTTGTCCATGCCCTCCATCTACCACCATAATAAGAAGCTATAGAAGAGAAAGCAGGAGAGAAAAATCTGTGCCCCTCCCCCGAGTTTTCAGCGGTACTTTTTGGGAAGCAAATTTGAGAAAGGCTGAAATCAGAAACACACAAAAACCACCCAGCTGATCTAAAGGGGCTGATATTGTCCACTGGTATCTGTAAGGCTTTAACTGAGAGGCATGGCCACAGCCTAAGACATAAGGGTGGCATCTGGCACCTGCCTCAGTAGGTCTGATTTTTGTCATATAGTACACAGGCAGGAGCTGGGGGAGTGAGTTCTTGGAGTCAAGGTGTACAGGAAAAGAAGAATGAGCCAGGTGCTTCCTAGCTCTATTGATTGAGGGGCCAGGGCTTTCTAATGTCTGCCAGGGAATTGGGGGGGGGGAGTACGACAGCATAAAACTGGAGACTCCAAACTTTATGAGAGCAGTACATTACACGCCTACTGTGCATGACCCTCGTGAACAGCTTGGGCAGAATCAAACCTGCCCGCCTTGGTAATGATCATCTCAGTCCCGATGTCATGGAATCTCTTCCACAGCTCGGATCCTTGAAGTTCCACTTGAATAACATCTTTCTCTTCCCGACTTCCGCGGCTGCTTCCGCCGCCGCCGCCGTCGCCGCCACAGCCAGAGAAAGCAGTTGCTGAGGGCTCTGTCTTGGGTCGCTTTTCTGCTGTATACAGAGATGACCAGGGTTTGAGAGAGCTTCTTAGTTCGCGCTCCCCTTTCTCGCTGGAGCCTATCTTGGAGCAGGTGGGATTTGTTCGTTCCCCAGGAACCCTGCGGCGGATCCACAAGCTCCCCACAATTCCCACTGTGGTCACTTAATGAAGAGAGAGGGGCCCAAGTAGCGCCCCTTCAGAGGAGCCGCCCTTCTTTAGATTTGCCCATCCTTAGTCTCCCGGAGACGTTCACATCCGAAGCTGGATCCCCTCGGGATCTAGGAGCGTGCCCTGCTTTCTACTCCAAGGAACAACCACCCTCTGGCTTTCAGTGCTTTGGCGGGGTGGGGGGTCGGGGGGAGATGGGCGAACCTCACTTCTTCACAAGCATAGAGAAACCCTCCCTTTCATCGCAAAGGAACCGAAGTACTCCGGGCGGGAATCGGAGACTCTGAAACTTCCCCTTCAGCCAGGTGGCCGAGGTGTCCCGTGGCCCCCAAAGAGTCTGGCCGGCTGGACCAGGACATCCTTGGGGAGGGCTAGGCTCCGTCCAGCAGTGCGGCGAGCCAGGCGGAGAGATGCGGATCCCGCGGAGCGCGGGCGGCAGGCTAAGGGCATTGGGACTGCGTGGGGGTACTTACCCGACTGCTGGCTCTTCCCTGCAGCGCCGCTCCTTCTCTCCTCCTTTTCCTCTCCACCCTCTTTCTCCTGCAGCTCAGGCTGCACCTCCTCTCTTGGGTCTTGAAGCTTTCTTTTCCTGGGTCTCCCCACTAAAGCTTCTACTGAGAATGCGTGTGCCCGAGAGCTCAGAGCCATCCCTGGAGGGGACAAGGGAATGTGCGCAGCAGTTTCAACCTAAGTTAGGGAGGAAGGGGAGAGGGAGGGCACAGAGAATAGGAGAGGGAGGGAAAGCGGAAAACAAAACAAAACAAACCCAAATCCGAAAAACAATTTCTGGATCTGCATTCAAAAAAAAAAAAAAAATTCTCCGTGTGTGTAATTTTCATATATACATATAGAATAGGCGAAATGAAAGGAGAGGAAAATTAAATTGGAGTCTAAGTCCTCTGGAATCTAGTTCTCCTTCCTTTTGCGGTCTCCTCCCTCCCAATGGACTTGTGAGGACCATCAGTCCTCAAATCCCTGATTCCAGGACCTGGCAGAGTGCAGAGACTGGCAAATGCCGGCCTTTTAGTGTGCGAACCTGCCGCCAATGGCGGCTCAGGCCACTCGGATTGGGAGATACTGTTGCATCCAACTGAGTGAATACTGAGTGAATACTCTGCTGGTCACAGCCTCCACTGTTTGTTTTGGAAACTGCTGGAAGCATAGAAAAACACTGTAAGTGACACTTCAGAGTCGGGGGTGGGGGGTGGGGGGCATAGTTTGGAGGTTGGTTGGGAAGGGGATCCAAGAAGGTGGGAGGAGAGAGGAGGAGAGGGAGACACAAGGTTACTGTTTTACATTAAATTGTAAAACTCAAAATCATATGAAATAATTGCCCACGAGGGGCCACTTTTCCAACAAAAGTGCAAATATTATTTAACCAGATCCAGAGAAATGCATCGCAGTCTTTTGCTCTCCTTTGAAGACACTGGGGAAACAGAGAGCTTTCTGGGCCGGTTGGCTCTGCAGTCGGAGTCTCCAACTGGGTGGGCGATTGAGCCAGTCTGTCCTCTGTCTCCTGGTAGGGAGGTGAGGCCTAGGGAGGGCAGGAGGCTCCCAGATTCAACTGTCAAAGATCAGAGCACACCTGGGTCTTCAAACCCTGCCCTGCCCCTGCTGGAGCCCAATATTCCCATACATAGCCTCTTCTTACTTACAGGACTTAACATACGCAGTCTAAAGACTCCAGGGGCACTAGCCAGGCAACAACAGGGCCTTTGCTCCCAAGGATATGGTACCTCAAAATGATGGGATTAAATAATTGATTTCAGTGTCTCCTTGGATATCTTCCTGGGCTGGGTTTTACTTTTCCTTAAAATGGATAAAGACATTTTTTTGTGTGTGCCAGGAAGAGACTTGTTTACCACTTCCAAGGAGCATGTCTAGAATTCATACGTAAGATGAATCACATGCCTGTGTTCATGTGATTTGCTCACCGACTTTTCATCAAAAATAAGAAATCAAGTGTCCCTGGATTCTTTTGCAGATTGAATTTTAACTAATGACATTTGCACATTTCCAGAAAGCTTCTCTTGCTCTCCTCTGACATGTTTGTTCAAAGGACATTAAAAACCAATCCAACACCGTTTAAACTGAGATGGAACTTGCATTAATTTATAGTATCTCAATACTGGAGTTTGAGAGTAAAAGGCTTGTGTGGCTTTTTAATTCCAGCTACTTAGGTACAAATGTGCCCTGCTTAGACTTTCTGTGTGATGGCGGTGGTAGTGGTGGGGCATTCAGCAATGGGGATGCTTTAAGCACTCTAATAATCTCAGATAGCATGGCAACGGGTTCGTTACAGCTTGAATGCTACTGAAGAGTTTGGTTCAGTGACTCATTATCCACTGCTCACCATGCAGAGATTTGAAAGACACTATCCCCGTTCTAGAGGGGCAAAGTGAAGCTCACAGGACAAGGCCAATTTCAGTGCTCAAGACACTTGGGCTGGAAAACAGCTAGGTCTGGATGTGATCTTTGCCACATCTCCATGGGCATTTGTTTCTTTCTATAGCCATTAAAGGAGGAAAGGGGAGTATTTGTCTATTCCCTCCTAATCAGAAAATACATTTTTATCCACTGTATGTTCTTAGCTAAAAGATATAGCTCAGAAGCAGAAAAGTCAAGAGCTATTTGTTAATTTTATAGTGTTAACCATCATGTAATATTTATTTAGTGTCTCCTAATATGGGCATTTTCTTGCATTTGAACCCTAGCTCACTTTATTCCTAAAAAGTAGGACATTATCCTGTATAGCAAGTGAAGACTTTTCTTGGTACGTTTTTTTAAAAAAACAGATTTTGTGAGAATAAGGCAAAAGATGCTTGCTGCAAGATTTGGAACCAACCTAAATGTCCATCGATGGATGATTGGATAAGGAAACTGTGGTATATATACACCATGGAATACTACTCTGCCATAAAAAGAATAAAATTCTGCCATTCGCAACAACATCAATGAGCTTAGAGAAAATTATGTTAAGTGAAATAAGCAAAGCACAGAGGGATAAATACCATATGTATTCACACATAGGTGAGAGCTAAGAGAGAAAGAAGGAAGGAAAGAAAGACCACAGTGGTGCATTGGACTTGCAGAGGGAGAGAACATACCTAGGAATACAAAGTGGAGTGGGAAAAGGGGGATTGGAAGGAAGGTTGGGGATAATTGGGGAGATAATTGGGTGGGGGACAGGGCTTATAATCACAATTTGTGGTAATGGGCATGCTGACAGTATGGATCTGGCTGTTACATCTTAGGCAGGAGAGGTGACAATTTGCTTTGTACTCCATGAATATTCATAACCAATAAAAAATAAATAAATAAAAGATAAGATTCAGGTGTTGCCAACATGATAGTATTAAGAGGTAGATATTTTAAGAGATAATTAGATCATAAGGACTCCTCCCTTGTGGATGACATTAAGGTTCTTTTACAACAGGCTTCATGCAGCATTCAGCCCACTTGCCCTTCTGTCTTCTGCCATGTAAGGACAGGACAAGAAGTCCCTCACTGAGCACCAAATACCTGTGCCTTAATCTTAGACTTCCCAGCCTCTAGAACTGTAAGAAAATAAATTTCTGTTTTTCATAAATAAATAAATAAAAATAAAAATCATATTTCTGTGAAAATAAGGCAAAAGATGCCTGCTGCAATGTTTGTTCTAATATTGCAGACTACTATATGATATCAATTTTTAAATCAAAGAAATAGCATATCTTGTGATATTAGGTCCTTCCTTAGAAGAAACTTTAATATTTATTACAAGTATGAAATTTACTCATTCAGATCTCTTAAAAAAATTTTTGTAATCTAATTTTTTTCCATTTCATTTCAGTACCTATCTTATGGCATCACTGGGAGAAATGTAACTCAGCTCTCCCTCATGTGTGCTGAACTACAGTGTAGTTAACTCCTGTAAACTTGTATCTGAGAGAAAAACATACCATATAATCTTAGAACCTGCTTTGCAATCTGTTCAGCTGTTGAATCACTGGGCTGTCAGGTACTGATAGCCAGAGGAAAATACACTTATGCCAGCAATTCATTCTCTGCACCTGGAAGTGTCTTTTGAGCAGTCTCTATGTTTACTTCAGGAACACCTAAACTTTTATAGGAGACTCTTCAACCCATAGAGGAGCAGTGGAATATATGAAAAGAGGCTCTGGTACCCACAGATGTCCACATTAGAAACAAAGTTTTTTTGTTTTTTTGTTTTTTGTTTTTTTTTAACTTGACAATAGGAAAATATTTATAGTCAAATGCTGGATTTGAATTGCCTAAAAATGTTTCAACTGAAAATACAGTGAAAATTTATCACTCGAATGAAGGAAAAATAAATTTGTGGTTAACACAAATCAAATCCATTCAGTATCTATGGGGATAGAGAGGAGATAGATGTACCTTAAGGGATATATGGTTTATTAGAGCTGTTGCTGAATATGAAACCTGAGCCTGTTTTCAAGATATACAAAGCAATGTATATCTCTATTAATAATCCCAGTATTTTATTAATGACTGTAAATAGGTATGTGTATTAACACATTCACTAAACAAAGCAAGTCCTGAAAATCTTGCTTCTCATGCAGTATTTGTGCATGGAAGTAGATGGTCAGAATTAAGCTAAAGAATATGAAAATGTCACATTTCTCAGAAACTTATGACATGTGACAGGCAAAGATTCAGGACCTCTCTAGCTTTCTATATAGGCAATATGGGCTATTTAGTGAAAATCTTATGTTTAAAAGGAACTAAGTCTGCTTGCAGGAAAAAAAAATCGTCTGCGTTCTGCAATAAGTACTAACTAAAGGGTTGATGCCAAACCCATGTAGAGGGATTCCAGCTCCTACTTTTAATTTATAAGAGAAGAAATGAAACAAATGAAATAAATCAATAAAGATTTTATGTATATATGAGAATATATGTGTGTGTGTGTGTATCTTTTTCCTTCCTTCTTCTTCCTCTTTTTTCAATACTACTGGTTCTGTGAGTTGGGAAATGATATGCTATAGACTCTCTCAGAACTGTGAACCCTGAAAGCAAATTTGACTTTCTACATGAATTCCTAGAACTATGATAATAAATAATGCTCAAGCAGTACAGAATGTAAGAAGACAGACTTTGGATTCAGACTCACCTGTTTCAAATTCTGACTCTGCTACTTTCTGTGTGTCCTTACACAAGTCTTCTTTTCTTGCATTCAATCTCCTCTAATCTTCTAAGATTTTATGTCTAATACCCTCATCATAGAGTATGTTTCTGTGTGCATATGTATCTGAGGGTTTAGTAAAATGATTTATGCAAACCACTTAGCACAATGCCTAGAACATAATAAGCACTCACAGGTGTTTTCAACATTAAAGAGATGATGGCAATTAATTTCAAGAATGTACTACTCTTTGTATTAACTATACAGCTATAAATTTTTTGAGGCCAGACAGAAGGGGGGAAAATCGGGCCAACGCTGGAACCCCCAAATTTTAATTAAAGTCTAAAGCAGATTCAGAAGGTTAGAAGTCTTTATAGAAATCACCTTTCTTTTTTTTGTTTTTCTTTTTGTTTTATGACTGGTAAGGGGATCGCAACCCTCGGCTTGGTTTCATCCGCACCATGCTCAGCCAGTGAGCGCACCACCCATCCCTATATAGGATCCGAA